GATCAAGTGCCCCTGAGTTCAATCCCCGGTAACCCCCCTCCAAAAAAAAAAATACCTCAAATGCTGGCTACCCACACATTGCACATTGTTGAGCCTCAGTTGTTCCTGCCCTGGTCACATGGCTGACTGAGAGCTGGGACTCACTGCCACAGACTCCAGCGCAAGGAGTGGTCTTATGGCAAATCCCTAGACCACGCAAGATGAGACCCAAATTCATAAGCACTGAGCGACAGTCCCAGTCTTCAAAGTAAGGTTTCTATGGAGTATGCCACTTTAATATCATCAAAAAGTTGGAAAATTATTCTCATCACCGTAAGTCAGGGATCATCTCTACTTCCATTCATAATAAGGAAAAAATGATGCCTAGATACATAGATAAACACAGATACAGCTGATTTTTTTTTTGAGAGAGAGAGAGAGAGAGAGAGAATTTTTAATATTTATTTTTAGTTCTCGGCGGACACAACATCTTTGTTGGTATGTGGTGCTGAGGATCGAACCTGGGCAGCACGCATGCCAGGCATGGCGCGCTACCACTTGAGCCACATCCCCAGCCCCAGATACAGCTGATTCTAATGGCACATGGTGTTGTGTTCTACAAAGTCACAGCAAATACTGAGTTAGCGAATACCGAATCTTAGAGTTGGACTTCTGAAAGTCCCCAGCTGCAACCTTCCTCGCCAGCTGACAGTTACAGACCCTATTGTGCGTGTGTTTCTATTTCAAGGCTCCTCATTTAACACCTACTGTGGGTCCACGGACTCTGACCTGGTGGCCAACAGCACCATCGTGGTATCTGAACAAAGCTCAGCTCCTATAGGTCTTCTCCTCGAGGCACCCCCCGCACCTTCTTGTACTTAGGAACACCACAGAAATCACCACGGAAAAGGACAGAATGTGGAGAACGTGTCACTAAATAGGCTGTGTAAAGGACACTCGTGTGTGAGAACTGGAGCAAGGAAGCAGGGGTCACGTTGTTGGCCTCTTTGGGACACAGGTGGGGGGAGGGCTCCGTGTTTTCACTGTCTGTCCACGTCTGGGAGTGACCACTGGGAGCACTGAGTTGAGGGCCACAGATGCATTTTAGCAAATAGGTGAAGGAGGATTTTCAAATCAGCCTGGAGCTGATCTGTGAAGGGGATCATCCCCAGGCCCCAGACCGACACCCGGGTGTCCAGGGAGGAGTCACATCTGAACCGTGGCAAACCTCACTGGGTGACTGGGTGGCCCCTCATCGCCCCTCAGGGTTTCCAAGAGAGGCAGAAAGGACAGTAAACAGGAATGAAGGGGGCAGGGCCCCCAACAACCGTGTTAGGAATGTACCCAAAGTCCTCTTATCGGTTCATGTTTGGAAATGTAAAATCTTTTTTTTTTTTTTTGACCAGGGATTGAACCCAGGGGCACTCAACCACTGAGCCACATCCCCAGCCCTTTTTTTATATTTTACTTAGAGACAGGGTCTCACTGAGTTGCTGAGGCCGGCAATCCTCGATCCTCCTGCCTCAGCCTCCCAGGGTGCTGGATGACAGGCGTGTGCCACGGCACTCGGCTGAATATAAAATCCTTCCAGGGGCTTCAGGAGCCCGTCGCACACTCCACCCAGGCCCACGGGGGGGGCCCTGAATTCCTCAGCTACCAACTCCCCCAGCTGGGGATGTCRCGACCTCCTGGCCTCAGAGAGGCCATCCCCGTCCCCCATCCCGAGTTGGACACTTGACCCAAGGTGGGTGAGTCGGGAAGGTTCCTCAACAGGGAGGGGCCCACCGTGGCTCTGAGGCTGAGCATCTTGAGAAGGGTGAGAGGGGTGAGAGGGGCAGGCAAGTCCTCCCAATTAGCCCACAAAACCCGCTGTGTCTGGAGCGTGTTGATGATCGACATAATGAGGTCTGTCAGATAAGAAYTGTCTCCTGGAGGGGAACCAAGCCACCAGGGGCCTTTCACAGTCCCACCCCTTGGCCCTGCCCACCACCCTACTTCCCCGGCTTCCTGTCCCCGTGCTCAGGGCTCCATGGTCCTCCCATGCCCAGAGTGACCTGCTGCCCTTAGCCATTCAGCCCCCAGTGATTATCCAAGACGGCCTAGCCTTCCACTGTCGTGGTAGGGCACCATCTCATGAGCCCACCCACGTGCCAGCCAGCACCTGGAAGACTGCCGCTGGGTCTGAGTTGTCATTCATTAGGAATTTCATACAGCGCGGACCCTGAGACRTTGGATGTCAACCTCCACAAAACTGGTGAGAATCCAGGGGTCTCGATGCAGTCGAGAGGATAACCCCAAAGTTCTGTGCCTAGCCGATCGAACTTGGTGACTTTTTTTTTTTTAATATTCTTTTAGTTATCAATGGACCTTTATTTTTATTCTGATGTGGTGCTGAGGATCGAACCCAGGGCCTCACACATGCTAGGCCAGTGCTCCACCACTGAGCCACCACCCCAGCCCCAAACTTGGTGATYTTGTTTAAGGTCCTTCTTTTATATTGGCTGACTTTAATCTTTTTTTTCTCTTTTTGCTGCAATAAGCCATAAACCATGGGCAGATGGGTAGACGGGAGGAAAGATGGTCAGGTAGGTAGGTGGAGGGATGGATTGGGGGGTAGATACCTTAGCTTCTCTGATCTTTCGAATCAGCTTTGATATACTGCAGGTTCCTTCAAAGAAAAGTCACTATCTGCTTCCATGAAATTTATGATGTAAACATTTTGAGACGTGAAGACTTCCCTCGGTAGTTAGTTCATTGATTCAATAAAGAGAATCGAAAGAGGGGTTTTAAAGTAGGATGCCCCAGCCCCGCAGTGGTTTCTAGGGGAGGAGGAAGGGCCCCAGRTGAGCCAGGCGAGGTTGCTCTGAGAACTAGCCCGTCCTGCAGGGCGGGGTGACGTGGTGGGTGGCASACAGGAGAACACGGGAGACGCTGGTGATATAGAGTGACGGGACTCGGGTGGAGCTCTGAGCCCTGGGAGCAGAGATGAGCCCAGGTCCTCCTGATGCCAAGAGAAGCCCTCCAAAAATAGRCCTCCGTGGGAGGCGCCCAGAGGGGCCCACCCCACACTCTGCTGGGTGGCGCCSGGCACTGCTCCTGCTGTTGACCGTGGCAAAGGGCTTGGAAGTTACTTAAGGGTAAAGTGAAAAYCCTCCTAGAAACATCTGCCCCCTCACCCCTTGTGGAATCCGGACAGCAGGTCCTCTCTGTTCTCTTGGGGGACCAGACACCTCTGCCCATGGCCGTGGCACTGACAGGAAAGGCAGGTCCATGTCCTGCCCTGGAGTCTCAGGTGTCCACAGGAACCTGGTGGGAGCAGTGGTCATTCAGCACATGGGGTACTTACGCTGGGTCCTGCCCACCTGGGAAGCCCACATCCTCACACCTGCTCACCTCCTAAGTCCCCCTGAGGACTGGCCCCGGTCAGCTCTGTGCACCCCAACAAGCACAGACAGCTCCCCCATCCCAGGATCAGGCACTTCAAAACTCAGGAAGGGCCGCACCTTTATATCCAGCTCCTTCCTGACRCTCCGCTCCGGGCCACGGGCCCTGGAAACATCACCATCATTATGACTATTGCCATTTCCCTTGCTGTCATCTGTAACCCAGTTTTAGGTCATTTACAATAAACGCACAGGCAGCATCAACCTAACTAGAGAAATTCATAAACCGTTTTCAGCTACATGGCTGCAGGTTTTTCTAACCTTCAGAAGGGGAGGTGTCTGGAGGCTCTCAAATTCCACCAGCCACAGATCAAAGAGATTCAGAAAAACAATCGCGTCTTCACGGAACATGTACAGACTTTTTTCTGTGCAGCCCAATAACTATTCGAGTAGCTTCAGGCATTATGAGCCTTGTAGGGAGATTTAAAGATACAGGGGGAGGGCAGGAGGATTCCCGAGTTCAAAGCCAGCCTCAGCAATGGCAAGGTACTAAGCCACTCAGTGAGACCCTGTCTCTAAATAAACCACAGAATAAGGCTGGGGATGTGGCTCTGTGACCAAGTGCCCCTGAGTTCAATCCCCAGTACCAAAAAAAAAAATTAAAAATAAACAACAATAAAACATAAGTTAGGAGCTGGGCATGGTGGCACACACCTGTAATCCCACTAACTCAGGAAGCTGAGGCARGAAGATCTCCAGCTAGAGGCCAACCTAGGTAAGTTAGCAAGACCCTGCCTCAAAACACAAAATTTGAAAAGGGCTGGGGACATGGCTCTGTGGCAGAGTACCCGGGCTTCTATCAGTACAAAAAATATAATAATAATAATAAGTTAAATAATAAAAAAATGAGACATTAATTTTGTCAGAAATTCCACATGGAAGATAACTATTGTCTCCAAATACAAAACTGACCACTGGGCCTCCTTCCTGCTGGACCAACTCTATGGRGAGCCAGGTGACCGTTTCCCTGTTGTGAGTGTGTTGGGGACCTGCCCTGCCGTCCACCTCTGACCCACCTGTGGCTCTTTTCAGGTCTCCTGGGCTCCAGAATCAGGCCGAGCTGGGGCCCCAGGGTTTGGGAAGGTGCTGGCCTGACCCATTCATCCRTCCTCCCTCTGAGCACCCAGGACAGCTAGCTGAGGCCCATCTGCAGCGGTCCCCCAGGTCTCCTAGTGTTTGCCTCATTCTACAAAATTCGTGGCCTCAGCCTGGTGGCCCTGGTCTACATTTTCTTGGACCCGTGTGCCCACCATGCCTGCCCCAGGCCTGGGCTTGGTGGAGCCGGGGAGGCAGGAGGAGGCTGTAAATCCAACCCCTTTACCCAGCCCGGGCTCCGGAGGCTCCTCCAACTCTCACCTGGGTGGTACCCGCAGGACCCCTCGTGCCCAGGGTAGGGTGAGCAGCTGCACCCTGGCTGGCCAGTCCAGAGTATTGGGTCAGTGTTGGGAAAAGAAAAGAATTTCACGTTATAAACCACCTGTGGAAAGTGGAGGGCAGCGGGGAGCCATGTCCAGGGCCCCCATGGCCCAGCCTGGCCATGCCCTGTCCCCCAGGCGCCCMGCACCCTGGCAGACTTACCCTCCTCACAGTTGCTCCCGGTAAAGCCAGGGCAGCACCTCCACTCCAGCGCCGTCACCGTGCGGTAGGACACCCTGTACGTGGGCCTGATGAGAGCCCTGTAACTAACACAAGGACAGTGTCACTGAGGCCTGCGCTCCTGCCCGCCTGCCCCCAATGCCTCCTGCAAAGATCGCCCAGGTGGCTTTTCCCACCCGAGGGTCTGGGAGGCTCCCTGGAYAGTGGACCCATGGCCCTGGCTCTGTGCACGCCAGCTATGTGGCCCCAGGCAAATCACCAGCCCTCTCTGTGTCAGCTGCCATCTAAAGGGTCTACAACTCTCCACATGTAGCCTCCTCTAGAGGGGCAATGCATATGACTGAGCAAGATATGAGTAGGGAAAAGGGTCAGACCATCAGGACCTGCAGAACTTCAACCACGCTCAACCCCCAACTCCACCCCTTTACCAATCGATCGTTATTCCCTTTGCTTGATTCACCCAGTGAATACCCTAAGGAGCATCCTCTGGGGCTAGACTGCAGTCACAGACATAAAACAGGCATGCGGGTCACAGTGGCACTTGCCTGCAATCCCAGCAGCCCAGGAGGCTGAGGCAGGAGGATGACAAGTTCAAGGCCAGCCTTACCAACTTCATGAGGTCCTAAGCAATTTAGTGAGACCCTGTCTTAAAACCAAAAGGGCTCAGTGGGTAAGTGCCCCTGGGTTCAATCCCTGGGACCAAAAATAAACCCCACGGTGCTCATTCTAGCAGAGGCCCTCTGAAGCACAGCGGTGAGACCCTCCCAGCCATAAAAAATGTTTCTGCTTTAAAAAAATTTTTTTTAAAAAAACCTTAAAACATTTAAATTTAAAAATTTAAATAAAATTAATAAAAATTAATTAAAAAAAAAAGAAGAAAAATCTCCTGGGAAATATTATGTAGCCCCTGGTGGAGTTTCCCCCGACACCAGTTTAGAAATTCTCTCACAAATCAGTCTGATACTATTCTGTGAAACTCTCCAGAAGAGCGAGTGTGGACAGAYGGACAGATTCCAGGGGGACCCTCGACTTCGCTCGGATCATCATGACTGTGTTGCTGGATCGTGCCGCAAAATTTCCTCTTTAAAACAAAACTGCACGACCCCCAAAATTGAAATCTGCTGACCCGGARCCCCCCATTGGGTGTAGGGAGAGATGACGGACTAACGGTGGCAGCCGCGTGCCTGCCCGGAGATGCCCTGGGAGCCGGGGACACGTCTGAAACCGGACTTCAGAAACCACAGCACAGATGGTGGAGAATCCCGTCGCGCTGGCTTCCCCCCAGGCCCCTCTGAGCTGTTCCACAGGTTCCTGGCAAAATAGCTCCAAGAGGCATCTTCTAGGGGACCTCGGAGGCCACTGTCACTGGGTACAGGTAGGGAAAGGACAGGAGCGGGGGACAGGAAGGTGTGGGAGAACCACAGCACCAGGTCACCCCTTCTCAGCCAGGGACCTGGGGACGTGTGGTGGGTACGTAAGCCTGGGTCCAAGGAGGGCAATGACACGAGTGCTCCATAAACACGCTCACACGCACACTCGCCAACGCTCTTACGCTCACATACACTCCTCACACTCACGATATGCAGGACACTCGTGTTCTTACACAAGCACCCGCTCTTGCACCAATACCCTCAGCTCACTCACACTGCGTCCACTCCACATTTGCTCACCTGTGGTTGCACACTTATGTGCACACCCTGTGCACACACTCATGCAGGCACGATTCACATTCACACAATCAAATAAACACTCGTGCACATGCATTAACACAATTCACCGCTCATGTTCACGCTCTCACGTGGCCGCACACACTCACTTGCCCTCTTACACGCTCACACTAGCACACTCTCAGAACTTGCACACCCATGCATCCTCCTCACGCTCAAGCCCTGCCTCCGGCCTGACAGGTCTCCCTGCTCCGTGGCAGGATTTTGACTCCGCCCCTAATTCACTGTGCTAACGTACACGGTAACCTCCCTGAGCCCCTGTCCTGATGAGGATACTGTGGGGACCCGGATGCCGGGGATGAGGCTTAGACAATAGAGAGGGTTGCTCGGACACAGATCTGATTGCATCCCTCTGAGTAGCCTCACGTGGCAGGGAAAGAGTCCAGGCTGCTCAACCAAATGCACCAGTCCTTCCAGGAGGGACAGAACCCTATGCCCTCTGTGTCACATGCTGTCACCCTCCAGCCCTTGGGTGATAATGTGGCAATAATAATAGACAATGAAAAATAGATGTCCCTGACCCTCAGGGAGTGCCGGGCCCTAGGCTGAGTGGGCTACAGATGCTGATGCAGGTGGAGGCCGTTGTCATCCATAACTTACGGATGAGGAGACGGAGGCACAAAGAGCTTAAGGAACTTTCTCAAAGTCACAAATGCCAAAAGGTGAGGGAATAAGAATCAGTCCAGGCAGAATCAGTCCCACGCCCAGTAACTTCAATTTGTCTTTGCAGKGCAAAGGAACAATTTCTTTCCAATACACGTAGGAGGACCCCAATATTCAAAAAAAGCTCTATTACTGACCCTCCTTCTTGGGTTTCAGCCTGGTCTGTGCCCCTCCAGGACCCCAAGGCTGTGGAGGAAGCAGATGGACCACAAAGTGCAGGTGCCTGACCCACCAGTAGGTGGCGCTGCTCTACCAGCCCAGCGGGCCCAGGCTCAGCCTAGCAGACCCTTGGGTGCCACCAGGGTGCCCAAGACAGGTTCATCCTTGGTGGTCCATCTCCCAGTCTGAGCAAGAACCTGAGGGGCCTTTGCCTTCCTGCCTCCACAAAGAACTGGCTCGTGCTATTGGGRTCCAGTTGGCAAACTTTCTAAAATGCTGATCCAGTTTGGTGACAGCTGTATCTCCATGATTACCGCAGACTAAGGACCAAAACTTTCGGGTCAGATAACAAGGCACAGCCTACCTTCGGACCCTCACCTCCTTCCGCAGTCACCAGCCAGGGCTCCTACCACTGCCACACAACAGAAAACCCAGGTGCCCTGTGCTCTTGCGGCCACCATTGCAAGTACAAGCTTCTCTGCYGACATTCTTGTTCAAGTCTTTATGAGAACACATTTCCATTTCTCTAGGCTATATGCTTAGCAACAGAACTGATGTGTTTCCTCCTGTGTGCTGCCTGAGAAAAATCTCACAGAGCCTTCAAGTTGTGTCCCAGATGGCCCCTCCTCGGTGAAGCAACCCTGCCCCCGACCAGAGTGGATGGCTTCTCTCTCCCTCCTCCCACACATGGGGTCCAGAGCTTGGTTACAATCCAACACTCGTGMATGCACCCAGCAAACACTTGCCAAGAGCCCGCTTTGAGCAGATCCCAGGAACACGAGAATGAGCAAAGACAGGCACGTGCCAGAACACGAGGCTATTGGGGACAACCGACACACATCACATAATCGTGCAGGTGAACCTACAAGATTGCACGCAGGGTAAGTGCCATGAGGCAAAGTACTAAGTTCACTCCTCATTTTTATAGTGGATTTTCTCCTTGTTATTAAAATATAATGGGCATGCAGCCAAAAAGATAAACCCAGTGAGGATCTCAATGAGCCTCTAGCCATACGCCSCACACCCACCAGAATTCCCACTCCTTGAAAAACCCCCCTCACCCCAYTTCTCCTGGCCCTAGAGGTAACCACTTTCTGACTTCTCTCATCATGAAATTATTTTGCCTGTTCAAGAACCTCTTATAAATGGAAAATTACAGTAGGTGCTCTTTTGCATTGGCCTTCTTTCACTCATCCATTAGGTCTGAGTTCCATCCATTCCATTAGATGGCGTRATATTTTATTCTTTTTTATTGCTGAATAATATTTCATTACATAAATAAGACAAATGATTGGATTATAATTTGTCCATTCTCGTGCTGATGGACATTTGGGTTGTTTCCAGATTTGAGCTATGATGAGCAAAGATGCTATGAACATTCTTGTACAAGTCTTTATGAGAATACATTTCTTTTTTTTTAATTTTTTATTTATTTTTTAGTTTTCGGCGGACACAGCATCTTTGTTTGTATGTGGTGCTGAGGATCGAACCCGGGCCACACGCATGCCAGGCRAGCGCCCTACTGCTTGAGCCACATTCTCAGCCCCGAGAATACATTTCCATTTCTCTAGGGTATATGCTTAGGAACAGAACTGATGGTCCAGAGAATCAATTRCCACCCAACTTTAGTAGATATTATGAACAAGTTTCCAAAACCTGTTTTGGAAGCCAGAAATTGAGCAAAGCCCTCACCAGAAATGGAATCGGGCAGAACCTTACATGCCATTCAGCTTACAAGCCTAGCTGTAGTGGGTGAGAGTTCCAGTTGCTCCACATCCTTGCCAACATTTGATATTATCAGTCACTTTCATTTTATCCATTCCTGGGCTTATGTAGTAATCTTTCATTATTGTTTTCATTTGCAATTCCKGATGACTAAATAAGGTTGAGTCCCTTTTTGTGTTTTCCTTTTGGCTATCTTCAAGTCTTATGCCCACTTCTAAATTGGGTTTTGTATCTTTCCCTTCTTTGGTGTTTTATTGACTTGCATGACTTATCTTTTTTTATTTGTTGATTATGTATATAAGTATGTGAATATATAAGAAGAATATATTTAAAAGAACAGAAGTGAGCCCCTCATATATTTTAGATCTGCAGCTGTGGATTCAGCCAATGTGATTGAATATATTGTGGGGGGTTGATTGCACCTGTACTGAGCATGTGCAGACTTCTTCTTGGTATCCTTGTAAAAAGACATCCAAGACAGGATCCTCTTTCTCTCAACCTGCACATACACCAAAGGCTGTGTAAAGACACAGTGAGAAAGTGGCCATCTACAACTCAGGAAATGGAATCAAATGGAACCTTGATCTTGGACTTCCAGCCTCCAGAACTATGAGAAAATTAATGGCTCCCCAGTCTACGGCATTTTTATGGCAGCCTGATCCAACTAATATTAATCAGTAAATTAAACCAAAAAAAAATGTGTACACTGATGAGATAAATAAGAACAAATGAATGGAAAGTTATGCTATGTTGATGGACAGGAATACTCATGGTCATTAAGGGGTCCCTTCAGTACAAATGGATCT